TGAGGGGTCCTTACTTGATTCGATGCCGAAAACTAGATGATTATAGCGCCTACGGGCGGTCCCTAGGTTCTCTGAATTTTTTCTTCGGGAACTGAAATGCGCTTGCGGTACTTACAAATGTCCCTAATAACCCAAAATCAGTCCCAGGACCTACTCGGCCAATTTCAAAAATTCGGCACGGCGGTTCCGCCGTGCTTCGACGACAGTGCCGCCGTACTCCGACGACGGGCGGCGGCGATCCGCCTTGGGTTGGCTGTTTTCGACCTTTTTGGTCGAATTTAGCCAAACTTGCATCAGTTCCTGTAAGAAAACACACTTAGGGCCCTCGGTGGGCCAAAAAAACGTAAAAAATCGAAATTCATTGGCAGTGGGGCTCTTCGATGCGGTGGCTCCTCCGGCTCATGTTGCGGTTGGGTGTTTTCCTCCGGTCAACCTACAGAGGAGGAAACGGTAATCACAACGGTGAAAAATAACATCGAACTGGAATCAGGAAGGGCCAACAGCGGCGAGTGGCGGCGGTCGGCTCCCCGGCAGCTGGGCTGTCTTCTCCGACAAGCTGGTGGTTAGGGTTAGGGTTTGGGTGAGGATGAGGTTATTTATACCCATCCGCTTTTGATCTGAGCCGTCCATTACTTTTAATCTGGACTGTCCGATCGCGATTAAATAGGGAGTGAATCTGGACCGTTCATCGCGATTCAATATGGACTGTCCGTGTGCGATTAATCTGGGCTGTCCGTGCACGTTTTTGATCTGAGCCATCTGTGCGCGCATGAACGGATCTCAGCCGTTCGATCGCGCGCACACTGATCGCCTACGTGACTCCCCCCGCGTGGCCTCCCGCATCAGTGTCTCTACCACCTGGCACGTCCTGGTTGGTCGAGGCTGCTGACCGGGCAGCTGAAGTGGCGTAACTTTTTAAAATTGCGTTTTGACTCCGTTTTTCGATTTTTCTTTCAAAAATACATTTAGAACCCAAATTTTTACCCATTTTCCTTAAAATTATTTTCAATTAAATTCTCAATTATTTTTTTCACCCTTATTATTATTATTATTACTATTATTTTCATTAAATTAAAATAAAATAAAATAAATTAAATTCAATTCAATTAATACATATTTATATTTATATAGAAATAATAAAAATAATTGGGTATTACATCTTAATTTGAGTACTTATAACGGGTTAAAATTCCGATTTATTATTTTTTTTCTTCAAAAAAAAAAATAGTTATAAACACCTTATGTACATTAAATTTGTACCCTCAAAATTTGAAAGTGTTAAAATAAATTTATTTTAAAATTTGTATAGAAGTTATTTAAAAACTTATTTCTTAACTAAACAAATAAAAATTTTTGAGACCCATAAAACTTTGAGTTTATCACACAGTTAAGGCTATATGGTAATTTATTTTAAAAGGAGCATTTTAGTAATTTTGTTATTGTTATTAAATTTTAACATCAAAGCTTAACGGTGATACCAAAAACTTTGTAATTACACATCATGGAGTTCATCATTCGGTTTAAAAAATTGGGTAGTTTATGTAATTTGCTCTGAAAAATTTGCGATGAAATTTAGTTAAATAATTTTGTGGGTAAAACTCCAATAAAGTCTCCGTCAACCGACAAACTGTCTCATGCGAATCCGAAACATATATGCATACGTGTATATATATATATAGGTTGTTAATAGCAAACAGTTGAAGGTCGATTTTGAATATAATGTCTAGTCTGTCTTAAGCACAGCCACCACTATCATTCAAAAGAACAAAGAAAAAGAAAAAAGTAGCCATTTAATGAATGGTAGGAAGCAGTCTTCTGTATTCCATCAATGCTAATTTCTTTCTCATTTAATGTTGTTTATGACTATGGGCCCCCCGCGCAATGTCTCTCATATATATGCGTGTGTAGTTTTTTTATAAGAAGTGTATATATATATATATATATATATATAACTTTATTGGGTAGGAAGCTCAGCAACCCATCAATC